TGTGACTCGTTATGTTTGCGTAAGGTGCGGAATGCTAGGAACTGGTCGAAAATATTTTTTTGCTTAGTTGTCAAGAAGTTGAGCTGCTATTCCAACTCCCTTTGCTGCCTCTGAACCAGGTTCGGGCAGCTGAAATATCGAGAGGTGGATGAGATAAAAATCACGAAAGCCAATAGGGATTGAGGGTGATTTGTTGCACCGTCGCACAGCCACCAATCTTTACCGACCGGCACCTCACACCTTTCATTCACTTCAATGATGCACGCCTGTCAATCGTCGTTTCTACCTTTCTATCTAGGTCTTTAAATCTTAGATCAAAGCGCTACGCGCTTTACCGTCGCTTCTTGCTTCTTATCCAGCATGTCTTATCAGAATTAAGCGCAATCATAGTCTTAACACCGTATCTCGTGAGTGTCGCGGTTATTAGCCGTAGATTAATATTCACCGCTTCACAGCTATACGATTTTTGTTCATTTGATAAGTTGCTTCCCGAGTAATAGCGTTCATTTGCAGGTTGCCGGTGGACTAATGACGTCGTTTGCGGACACTCTAGCACCATTTGCGGACGCAATAGCAGTACCGATCTGCGAGCACATAGATTCGTAAGCACTTACCATGCGGACGCGTTAAAAGCTTCGGTCCTTAGGCGCGTGATAACCGTCGGTAGTGCAGCGTATTCCATGTCGTTAGGTGCTTAGGCACATTGAAGCGGACCGTTACCGCGCAAGACGGTAAAACAAGCGAAAGGTGAGCAGTTTGGGAGTGCGCGGGGTGGGGGAAGAGGGAGGAGAGGGGGCGTGGCGGGGTGTGGTTGGGTGGGGAGGGCATCTCTCATCTACTCCCGCTCTCTCCTCGTTCCCCCCGCTCCGCCCCATCTCTTTCCGCCCCTTCCTCATCTCCCCGCACACCTCTCTCTTCGTTGGTCAGTTCGCCCCGATCCCCCCCTGTTCACCCCTCGCTTCCCCTTCTTTCCCCTTTTTCTCTACCTCCCACCTCATTCCCCACTTCACTCATCCCTCGCTTTTCCCCCGCTCTTTCCGCATCTTCCCCCGCTCTTTCCGCATCTCCCCCAGCGCTTTCCGCATCTCCCCCAGCGCTTTCCGCATCTCCCCCAGCGCTTTCCGCATCTCCCCCAGCGCTTTCCGCATCTCCCCCAGCGCTTTCCGCATCTCTCCCGCCCCCCACCTCACACCCCATCTCCCCCTCCCCCACCCTTTCCAGCCATTCAACGGTCGTCTCTCCCTCCATCCGCCCCTTCCCCCCGCTCTCCCCCCTTCCCCCCACTCTTTCCCCCTCCTCCCCGCTTTCATTTCGTCTCCTTACCACTCACCCCGCAGGTCCCCTCTGTTCTTGGGTGATTTCGCGCTGTTCTCCCCTCGTCCGCACCCCTCTGTAAGCCCGTCTCCCCTCCGCTCTCCTCTCACCTCCCACCCCCCCCCCCCCCCCTGTTCACCCCTCATATCCCCTTTATTTCTCTACCTCCCCACCTCATTCCCCACTTCACTCATCCCTCGTTTTCCCCCACTCTTTCCGCATCTTCCCCAGCTCTTTCCGCATCTCCCCCCCCCACCCTATTCAACCGTGGTCTCTCCCTATATCCCCCCCGCCCGTTTCCCTCCTCTCTCCCCTTCTCACCCCTCCTTTCCTTCCAACACTCACCCCTCTTCCCCCCACCATTCTCCTTTCCCCGCTCTGTCCCCAACTCTCCTCCCTTCTCCCCGCATTCCTCCCCCCCCCCTCCCCCGTTCACCCCTTATTCCCCACCACTTGTTCGATCCTGCCTTGCACTGGCACGAAATTACCCAGAATCGCGTGAGGTGGTGCTGTTGCCGATCCCAGAGACTCCAATGGTGCATCAAATGGCGTGAGTCGCGGCATCAGATGGCGGGAGGCGCGGCATCAAATGGCGGGTCGGTTGGTGGTGTCTGCACATCTACAGGCCGATGGGCAGAGAGAGGCGGGAGGCATCAGATTGCGGGAGGGTGCATCAGATAACCGCCGGCATTGCGCATTGCAGATAACTCGATGCCGTTGGGTGATGAAGAGAAGGCGCATTGCAGCGCACCGTTACCACGCAAGAGGGTAAATCAAGGAAAAGGAGAGCAGTAAGGGGATGTGCAGGGTTGGGGAGGAGGGGGGAGAGGGGGAGTGGCGGGGTGTGGTAGGGTGTGGGTGGGTTGCGAGGCCATTTCTCATCTTTTCCCGCTCTTTCCTCGTTCCCCCCCTAGTCCCCCCTTTCCCCACCGCCCATCTCTTTCTGCTCCTTCCCAATCTCCTTACCCCTCACCCCTCAACTCCCCTCTGCTTTTCGCTCATTTCTCTCTGCTCTCCGCTCGTCCCCCCCCCCCCCCCCCCCCACCACCCCCCTTCCCCTCTTGCCCTTCACTTCCTCCCCGCTTTCACCTCATCGCCTTGCCCTCTTTGCGCGTTTCTCAATTTTCCCCACTCTCCCCTCGGTTCCCCTCCCCACCCCCCTTCCCCTCTTCCCCTTCCCTTCCTCACCGCTTTCATCTCATCTGCTTGCCACTCATCCCTCTGTCCTCGGTCCTCTGTGTTCTTTGTTCGATCCCCCCCGTTACCGCGCACGATGGTAAATCAAGGAAAGGTGAGCAGTATGGGAGTGTGCGGGGTGGGGGAGGAGGGGGGAGAGGGGGGGTGGTGGGGTGTGGTTAGGTGTGGCTGGATGTGGTTGGGTGTGGTTGGGTTGGGTGGGGTTGGGTGTGGTTGTGTCTCTCATCTTCTCCCGATCTCACCTCGTTCCCTTCCCCCTCCCCCCCCCCCCCCGCCCATCTCTCTCTACTCCTTCGTCGTCTCCTCACCGCTCAACCCTCAACTCCCCTCTGTTTTTCACTCTTTCCTTCCCGCTCTCACCCGTTGCCCCCTCCTCTCTCCCCCCTTTCATCGCATCTCCTTGCCACTCACCCTCAGGTCCTCTCTGCTCTCTGATCAATTTTCCCCGCTCTTTCCTCGTCAGCCCCCCCCCCCCCGGCCCCCCTTCTCCCGCTTTCATCGCATCTCCTTGCCATTCACCCTCAGGTCCTCTCTGCTCGTTTCTCAATTCTCTTCGCTCTCCCCCCTGCTCCCCTCCCTTCCACCCCCTCTCCCCCCTCCCTCAACCCACCTCCCCCCTCCCCAGCCGCAGCAGCACTGTCAAGCGCAGCAGTATCGAGAGCCTTGCCGCATCTTTGGTATAGACTCATACCAACGCTTCAGGTCATAGACTCATTGCCTCCAATACAACTCCACAAAGCCCAGGGCCAAGTACTGACAGTATTATGCCATGCCCTTCTATTCTTTCCCCAAGGGGCCTGCAGTCATGCAATACAGGAGGGCACTATCAGAAGGCTCAGCACGCCAAGAGGCCATTGCCTCAAATACAACTCCACAACGTCCATAGCCAAACATCAGCACAGCATCATGCAATGACCTTTCCATTCCGTTCTTTTCCCAGGAGCCCTGCAGTCACGCAACACAGGAGGGCACTATCAGAGGCTCAACTCACCAAGAGGCCACAACTCCACAAAGCCCAGGGCCACGTACAAAGAGCAGCACAGCATCATGGCATGCCCTTGCGTTCTTTTCCCAGGAGCCCTGCAGTCATGCAATACAGGAGCGCACTATCAGAAGGCTCAGCTGCTCACCAAGAGGCCATTGCCTGAAATACAACTCCCACAAAGCTTATAGCCAAGTAGTGGTAACAGCAGCACCAGGCCTTAGCAATTCCATTCCAGGATATCCTTGGGAAAAAAATCAAGAACCTGACGTCATTGCCTCAAATACAACTCCAGGAAGCTAACAGCCAAGTAATAACAGCAACACAGCATCATGCCATGCCTTTTCCATCCTGTTTCTTTCCTAATCCTCCAGCCATGCAATACTGGCTGGATGGCGCCACCCTGACCCTAGGGAGAGCCCTGGTGCCACCAGAATGCTCGGCTCACCAATTAGTCGTTGCCTGTACCGTAGTAGTCTGGAATTTTTCTTTTCATCACAATCTCCCTCGTCCTCCCAGACTCCATGCTCTCTATCTAGCCTCACCTTGTCCCACACAGAGGTGATTTTTGTGGCGCCTGAGAGATCACCTTTTTGAGGCGCCTAAAAAAAAAACTCCGAAGAGACTCCCAGATCTCCAGCCTCAGCTTGTCCTGCACAAAGCGGCTCTTCCAGGCTTGTCCCTGACAGGAGCACCACCCTCAGCAATAGCAGCAGGCTCATCACCACCATCAGCATCAGCAGCAGGCTCATCACCACCATCAGCATCAGCACCAGGCTCATCACCACCATCAGCATCAGCACCAGGCTCATCACCACCAGCAGCATCAGCACCAGGCTCATCACCACCAGCAGCATCAGCACCAGGCTCATCACCACCAGCAGCATCAGCACCAGGCTCATCACCACCAGCAGCATCAGCACCAGGCTCATCACCACCAGCAGCATCAGCACCAGGCTCATCACCACCAGCAGCATCAGCACTAGGCTCATCACCACCAGCAGCATCAGCACCAGGCTCGTCACCACCAGCAGCATCAGCACCAGGCTCATCACCACCATCAGAAGCATGCATCACCATGACCATCAGCAGCATCATAGCTTCGCAAGCGGCTGCACTGCACCACAACACCCGCAGAATCTGAGCTTCCCTGAAGCTCGGAGGAGCTTTCCTGTAGCTCGGAGGAGCTTCGCTTCCCTTCCACTAGCCTCAGATTGTCCTTCATATGGTCCAGGGACAGATTATAGCCAAGCTGATGATCCTCTGCTATAACCACATCCAGATTTATCGCCATCAGCACCAGGATCATCAGCTCACCACCATCTTCACCATTACTATCATCATCAGCACCATCATCACCATTACCATCACCATCATCACAGCTTCGCAAGTGGCTGAGCCTCAACATCCACGCCATCCTCCCACGCCTCTCCACTGCTCTCCCCCCCCCGATCTCCCTATGTCCTTCCCTATATCAGCACCAGCATCACCATTACCATCACCATCATCACAGCTTCGCAAGTGGCTGAGCCTCAACGTCTGTCTCCACACCATCCTCCCATGCCTCTCCACTGCTCTCCCCCTCCCCAGCTTCCAACTCCCCTTCCCCTCCTCCCTCATCCCCAGCATCCTCCACCCCTCCTTCATCTCCTTCCCCATCCATTATGCTTCGCATCTGAGCTTCCCTGTAGCTCGGGGGTGCTTCTACGAGCCGCAGCTTGTCCCTTGCAGGATCCGCCTCTGCTATAATCACATCTACAGAATCACCCACTCGTACGTCCCGCTGCATCTTCATCACCGTCTCCATCCCCACCTGTGGGAATATAACAGAGGGGGAGAAAATACAAGAGAAAGGGAAAGGGAGGATTGGCACATGCGCTAGAATCACATCCACTGAGCCTCCCAGGCGCACGTCCCGCTGCATCTTCATCACCGTCTCCATCCCCACCTGTGGGCGGGACGAAGAAGCACACGGGAGTGGGACAACAAGGGCGCAGGGTTCAGCACTGAATCACCCACCCGCACATCCCGCTGCATCGGCCACGTGAGGCGACTTTTGAGTCGACTCAAAAGACAGTGGGAGAAGAGTCAGGAGGCAGGCTGATCGGCCACGTGAGGCGACTTTTGAGTCGACTCAAAAGACAGTGGGAGAAGAGACAGGAGGCAGGCTGATCGGCCACGTGAGGCGACGTGAAGTGGTTTGCTGGACACAAGTCTCGATTATCTCTCTCTCTTGTTCTGTATTTTTCTCTCCCAAGCAGGTTTGTGTCCGACGAGACATCTCTACAAGCCATGCGGCAGTGCTTCGCAGGGCTGTGGAGTTTGGAGGAGGAAGGAGGAGGGGGAGAGGGGACAGGAGAAACATCAGCAGCACGAAATGCAATCTTAAAAAAAACGATTGGGGAACCATCTGAGTTTGTGCTGAAGCCTCACTTGTCACTCCTATCTTGCCTCTCCCAACCACCTGTTTTCCTCTATAGGTTCGTTTCAGACGAGGCGTCTCTACAAGCCATGCGGCAGTGCTTCGCAGGGCTGTGGAGTTTGGAGGAGGAAGGAGGGGCAGCGGAAGGGGGAGGCGATGATGGGGCAGCACGGAACGCAATCATTGCAAAGGCGATCCAAGAGCCATCAGAGTTTGTGCTGAAGCCGCAAAGAGAGGGAGGAGGTGAGATACTGGACATTCAGAAACGTCTTGCGAGCCTTTGAAGATGCGTCAATAGACAATTGGTGAGCCTCACGTAGGCGGAGGCTTTTGAGCGGACTCAAAATCAGGGCTCACAGTAGAGAGGGACCTGCAGATAGAGAGGGACCTGCAGATAGAGAGGGACCTGCAGATGGAGAGGGACCTGCAGATAGAGAGGGACCTGCAGATAGAGAGGGACCTGCAGATGGAGAGGGACCTGCAGATGGAGAGGGACCTGCAGATGGAGAGGGACCTGCAGATAGAGAGGGACCTGCAGATAGAGAGGGACCTGCAGATGGAGAGGGACCTGCAGATAGAGAGGGACCTGCAGATGGAGAGGGACCTGCAGATGGAGAGGGACCTGCAGATAGAGAGGGACCTGCAGATAGAGAGGGACCTGCAGATAGAGAGGGACCTGCAGATGGAGAGGGACCTGCAGATAGAGAGGGACCTGCAGATGGAGAGGGACCTGCAGATGGAGAGGGACCTGCAGATGGAGAGGGACCTGCAGATAGAGAGGGACCTGCAGATGGAGAGGGACCTGCAGATAGAGAGGGACCTGCAGATAGAGAGGGACCTGCAGATGGAGAGGGACCTGCAGATAGAGAGGGACCTGCAGATAGAGAGGGACCTGCAGATGGAGAGGGACCTGCAGATAGAGAGGGACCTGCAGATGGAGAGGGACCTGCAGATGGAGAGGGACCTGCAGATGGAGAGGGACCTGCAGAAGGAGAGGGACCTGCAGATGGAGAGGGACCTGCAGATGGAGAGGGACCTGCAGATGGAGAGGGGACCTGCAGATAGAGAGGGACCTGCAGATAGAGAGGGACCTGCAGATAGAGAGGGACCTGCAGATGGAGAGGGACCTGCAGATAGAGAGGGACCTGCAGATAGAGAGGGACCTGCAGATGGAGAGGGACCTGCAGATGGAGAGGGACCTGCAGATAGAGAGGGACCTGCAGATGGAGAGGGACCTGCAGATGGAGAGGGACCTGCAGATGGAGAGGGACCTGCAGATGGAGAGGGACCTGCAGATAGAGAGGGACCTGCAGATGGAGAGGGACCTGCAGATGGAGAGGGACCTGCAGATGGAGAGGGACCTGCAGATGGAGAGGGACCTGCAGATGGAGAGGGACCTGCAGATGGAGAGGGACCTGCAGATGGAGAGGGACCTGCAGATAGAGAGGGACCTGCAGATAGAGAGGGACCTGCAGATAGAGAGGGACCTGCAGATGGAGAGGGACCTGCAGATAGAGAGGGACCTGCAGATAGAGAGGGACCTGCAGATGGAGAGGGACCTGCAGATGGAGAGGGACCTGCAGATGGAGAGGGACCTGCAGATAGAGAGGGACCTGCAGATAGAGAGGGACCTGCAGATGGAGAGGGACCTGCAGATAGAGAGGGACCTGCAGATGGAGAGGGACCTGCAGATGGAGAGGGACCTGCAGATAGAGAGGGACCTGCAGATAGAGAGGGACCTGCAGATAGAGAGGGACCTGCAGATGGAGAGGGACCTGCAGATAGAGAGGGACCTGCAGATGGAGAGGGACCTGCAGATGGAGAGGGACCTGCAGATGGAGAGGGACCTGCAGATGGAGAGGGACCTGCAGATAGAGAGGGACCTGCAGATGGAGAGGGACCTGCAGATGGAGAGGGACCTGCAGATAGAGAGGGACCTGCAGATAGAGAGGGACCTGCAGATAGAGAGGGACCTGCAGATGGAGAGGGACCTGCAGATAGAGAGGGACCTGCAGATGGAGAGGGACCTGCAGATGGAGAGGGACCTGCAGATGGAGAGGGACCTGCAGATAGAGAGGGACCTGCAGATGGAGAGGGACCTGCAGATGGAGAGGGACCTGCAGATAGAGAGGGACCTGCAGATAGAGAGGGACCTGCAGATAGAGAGGGACCTGCAGATAGAGAGGGACCTGCAGATGGAGAGGGACCTGCAGATAGAGAGGGACCTGCAGATGGAGAGGGACCTGCAGATGGAGAGGGACCTGCAGATGGAGAGGGACCTGCAGATGGAGAGGGACCTGCAGATGGAGAGGGACCTGCAGATGGAGAGGGACCTGCAGATGGAGAGGGACCTGCAGATGGAGAGGGACCTGCAGATGGAGAGGGACCTGCAGATGGAGAGGGACCTGCAGATGGAGAGGGACCTGCAGATGGAGAGGGACCTGCAGATAGAGAGGGACCTGCAGATGGAGAGGGACCTGCAGATAGAGAGGGACCTGCAGATAGAGAGGGACCTGCAGATGGAGAGGGACCTGCAGATGGAGAGGGACCTGCAGATGGAGAGGGACCTGCAGATAGAGAGGGACCTGCAGATGGAGAGGGACCTGCAGATGGAGAGGGACCTGCAGATAGAGAGGGACCTGCAGATAGAGAGGGACCTGCAGATGGAGAGGGACCTGCAGATGGAGAGGGACCTGCAGATGGAGAGGGACCTGCAGATGGAGAGGGACCTGCAGATGGAGAGGGACCTGCAGATGGAGAGGGACCTGCAGATGGAGAGGGACCTGCAGATGGAGAGGGACCTGCAGATGGAGAGGGACCTGCAGATAGAGAGGGACCTGCAGATAGAGAGGGACCTGCAGATAGAGAGGGACCTGCAGATAGAGAGGGACCTGCAGATGGAGAGGGACCTGCAGATAGAGAGGGACCTGCAGATGGAGAGGGACCTGCAGATGGAGAGGGACCTGCAGATGGAGAGGGACCTGCAGATGGAGAGGGACCTGCAGATGGAGAGGGACCTGCAGATGGAGAGGGACCTGCAGATGGAGAGGGACCTGCAGATGGAGAGGGACCTGCAGATGGAGAGGGACCTGCAGATGGAGAGGGACCTGCAGATGGAGAGGGACCTGCAGATGGAGAGGGACCTGCAGATAGAGAGGGACCTGCAGATAGAGAGGGACCTGCAGATGGAGAGGGACCTGCAGATAGAGAGGGACCTGCAGATAGAGAGGGACCTGCAGATGGAGAGGGACCTGCAGATGGAGAGGGACCTGCAGATGGAGAGGGACCTGCAGATGGAGAGGGACCTGCAGATGGAGAGGGACCTGCAGATGGAGAGGGACCTGCAGATGGAGAGGGACCTGCAGATGGAGAGGGACCTGCAGATGGAGAGGGACCTGCAGATGGAGAGGGACCTGATGCTGATGCGCTGATGCTGATGCTGATGCTGATGCTGATGCGCTGATGCTGATGGTGATGCTGATGCTGATGCTGATGCTGATGCTGATGCTGATGCGCTGATGCTGATGCTGATGCGCTGATGCTGATGCTGATGCTGGTGCTGATGCTGATGCTGATGCTGATGCTGATGCGCTGATGCTGATGGTGATGCTGATGCTGATGCTGATGCTGATGCTGGTGCGCTGATGCTGATGCTGATGCTGATGCGCTGATGCTGATGCTGATGCTGATGCTGATGCTGATGCGCTGATGCTGATGCGCTGATGCTGATGCTGATGCTGATGCTGATGCTGATGCGCTGATGCTGATGCTGATGCTGATGCTGATGCTGATGCGCTGATGCTGATGCTGATGCTGATGCTGATGCTGATGCTGATGCTGATGCTGATGCGCTGATGCTGATGGTGATGGTGATGCTGATGCTGATGCTGATGCTGATGCTGATGCTGATGCTGATGCTGGTGCGCTGATGCTGATGCTGATGCTGATGCTGATGCGCTGATGCTGATGCTGATGCTGATGCTGATGCTGATGCTGATGCTGGTGCTGGTGCTGATGCTGATGCTGATGCTGATAATGATGCTGATGCGCTGATGCTGATGCTGATGCTGATGCTGATGCTGATGCTGATGCTGATGCGCTGATGCTGATGCGCTGATGCTGATGCTGATGCTGATGCGCTGATGCTGATGCTGATGCTGATGCTGATGCGCTGATGCTGATGGTGATGCTGATGCTGATGCTGATGCTGATGCTGATGCTGATGCTGATGCTGATGCGCTGATGCTGATGCTGATGCTGATGCTGATGCTGATGCTGATGCTGATGCTGATGCTGATGCTGGTGCTGGTGCTGATGCTGATGCTGATGCTGATGCTGATGCTGATGCGCTGATGCGCTGATGCTGATGCTGATGCTGATGCTGATGCTGATGCTGATGCTGATGCTGATGCTGGTGCTGATGCTGATGCTGATGCTGATGCTGATGCGCTGATGCTGATGCTGATGCTGATGCTGATGCGCTGATGCTGATGCTGATGCTGATGCTGGTGCTGGTGCTGATGCTGATGCTGATGCTGATGCTGATGCTGATGCGCTGATGCTGATGCTGATGCTGATGCTGATGCTGATGCGCTGATGCTGATGCGCTGATGCTGATGCTGATGCTGATGCTGATGCTGATGCTGATGCGCTGATGCTGATGCTGATGCTGGTGCTGGTGCTGATGCTGATGCTGATGCTGATGCTGATGCTGATGCGCTGATGCTGATGCTGATGCTGATGCTGATGCGCTGATGCTGATGCGCTGATGCTGATGCTGATGCTGATGCTGATGCTGATGCGCTGATGCTGATGCTGATGCTGATGCTGATGCTGATGCTGATGCTGATGCTGATGCTGATGCGCTGATGCTGATGGTGATGCTGATGCTGATGCTGATGCTGATGCTGATGCTTTTGCTGATGCTGATGCGCTGATGCTGATGCTGATGCTGATGCTTTTGCTTTTGCTGATGCTTTTGCTGATGCTTTTGCTGATGCTGTCAGCAGCTCTCTGGAATCAGCACCAGCGGGCTGCCATCCGTACCCCTCCCAACCCCCCAGAACCCCTCCCAACCCCCCCACGCTCACCTTCACCAGCATCAGCACCAGTGGGCGGCCATCCGCTCTCAGCCATCTCTCTCTACCTTTGACCTCTCCCGCTTCTCCCCCCACCCACCCGTACCCCTCCCCAACCCCTCCCAACCTTTCCCAACCCCTCCGAACCCTCCCACTCTCACCTCCTCCACCAGCATCAGTGCCAGCGGGCTGCCGTCCGCTCGGAGCCACTTGAGCATGACAGCTGTCAGCACGGTATTGGCCGGCAGCCGCCGCAGGTACTCCTGCAGCCAGTAGCGCTCCACCGCGCCCTCCGCCCGCCGCACCTCGCGCTGCCGGGCGGCGCAGTGAGATACGATTGTGTCGAGATCTGATACCGATAGCGGGGGTGGCTCTCCCCTTAGCAGAGCCTTCACCTGGAGGGAATCGGGCAGGTGGGCGGAGGTGGGAGATTAGAGAGGGGGGATCGGAAGACTTTTGAGTCGACTCAAGAATCGGGCAGGGTAGGCGGAGGTGGGAGATCAGAGAGGGGGGATCGGAAACAGCGGGGTCAGAGGGGGTTGGATCAGAAGAGAAAGTCATCAGAGAAAGTGGGGGGGGGCGAAAGGGAGGGGAAAAGGGAGGGAGCCATGATATATGAAACAGCATACATGGAGCATACCTGATATAACCACACAATGTGCTATCGAACCTGGTGGTGTGCCAGCAGGTCGGAGTATCTTCTGATGGGCGACGAGAACTGCACTTATCCCTGCAGTCCCAGCCCAGCATGCGGAATCGGCCCAGAGCAGAGCACTTGATCCCACTGCGGCTCATACCTGGTAATGCGCCAGTAAGTAAGAGTATCTTCTGATGGGCGACGAGAACTGCACGCCTGATAGTGGTTGGAGGCTGGTACATGCATGCTTGCACCTGCAGGCACGCACATGCTCATGCTACCACACGACTCCACGTACCTGATATAACCACAGAATGCGTCATCATACCTGATAGTGTGCCAGCAGGTCAGAGTATCTTCTGATGGGCGATGAGAACTGCACGTACCCCTGCAGTCCCAGCCCAGCCTATCTGGTGGTGGTGGTGGGTGGCTGGCACATGCTCGTACACACACATGCTACACTCGCTGCTAGAAGGGGGCACCACATACCTGGTAATGCGCCAGCAGGTCGGAGTATCTTCTTATCTGTGACGAGAACTGCACGTACCCCTGCAGCCCCAGCCCAGCGTGCGGAATCGGCCCGGAGCATTTGATCTCACTGCGACTCACAAGCATGCAGATGCCTCACTGCATCACATACCTGATAATGCGCCAGCAGATCGGAGTATCTTCTGATTGGCGATGAGAACTGCACATACCCCTGCAGTCCCAACCCAGCATGCGGAATCGGCCCGGAGCACTTAATCTCACTGCGGCTCATAAACGATCGCAAATGCACCGCCCTGCACGGTCCCTCAGGGAGCGCTTGCATATCCTCCTCATCCTCATCTGTCATTCGGTCCGGAGGACCCTGGCCTCGGTACGGCAGCGGCAGGTCACGTTCGGCACCGAACCTAGCCACAGCCTCGCCGCAGAGAACCATAGCTTCGGACACGAGCCTCCGGGACGGGTCGGACTGGTCGATCGTGCTGACCGAGATTTGTGGGCAGTGTGATGTGGCGGAAAAGACTTTGATGTCGGATTCGGGGATGGAAATATTTGCTGCCCCGTTTTGCATGCGGTAACGTAACCGGCCGGCAGCAACGTCTGATAGTAGGAGAAGCTCTGGTTCGTGTTCGCCTGCCATTGCAAGCATTTCGGGCAGCTGGTCGTAAGCTAGCCGGTAGGTCGGGCAGATGAAGGAGTTCATGATGTCCACGTCATCGATGCTGGTGATACGGGGGCAGAAAAAAGGGAGGATTGGTGGGGAGGAAAGAGGGGAAAGAAGTAAGGTTATTGGAGAAATAATGATATGGGAAATGCACGCAAGCAGTTTTATGAATGCTTATAGAGGATATTTCTGACCACCTCAACCACCACCAACCACATACCTGAAATCCGGATTCAGCGTAACTGCTACAGTAACCGCACAGACGACAGCAGAAGCAGAATTCCCAGTAGCAGCAGCACCAGCAGCACGGGCAGCAGCGGCAGCAGCAGGAGGAGGAGGAGTAGGAGGAAGAGAGAGACTCATAGGACCAGCAGCAAGGGAGAACGGAATCATAGGCACAGCTCCCGTAGCGAAATACGCGGACGTGGCTCGTTTCCGAGCCTCTGTGTCGAGCCTGTCGCCGAGCCTCATCCAGCGGCTCGGATCAGCCACATGGATCCAGACCTTGATCCGGCCGTCTGGTAGGGCTTCTGCAGTCAACCCATCGTCCACCTCTACTGTATCGTATGAATCGATGGTGTAGACTTTGAGATGAGTTAGGTCGACTCGTATGCTCTGAAGGGGGAAGGACGGGAGAAGGGAGGGGGGAAGGGCGGAAGGGCAGAGGGTAAGAGTCGTGCAAAGTAGCATCAACCCATCGTCCACTTCTACTGTATCGTATGAGTTTGTATACTTTGAGATGCGTCAAGTCGACTCGTATGCTCTGCAGGGGGAAGCAAGGGAGAAGGGGAGGTGAGGGTTGAGGGAGGGAAGGGAGCATGATGGGATTGGTGCAAGGAAAGTCAACCCATCGTCCACTTCTACTGTATCGTATGAATCAATGGTGTAGACTTTGGGATGCGTCAGATCGACACGTATGCTCTGCAGGGGGAAGCAAGGAGTCAAGCAGGTTGATTTTGAAACGTGAAAGGGAGTCTAATGTACCTCGTCAAATGTGTCAGATCAAATCAAACGTACCTCGTCGGGGTCTGGTGGGGGGTTTGCTGCGAGACTGGCAGAGTAATCAGCGACACTTGCTGGGAAGCTTCCAGGCATGGCAGAGGCAGCGAGGCGGAAGGAGAGGGAGTGGAGTGGCAGGGCGCCTGCACGCACTAGCAGGTCGCAGGCTGCTTCTGGTGTCCTCACACAGCCGAGGAGTTGCAAGGACTGTGGGAGGGAGCAGAAGAGAGAAGGGGAATGCGGAAAGAGAGACATGTAGGAGTGGGAGTGCAGTGGCAGGGCGCCCGCTCGGACTAGCAGGTCACAGGCTGCTTCTGGCGTCTCACACAGCCGAGGAGTTCCAGCGACTGGGAGATGTGGGTGGAGGAAGCAGAGGCAGAGGGGTAATAATGCATGAAGGAGTGGCAGGGCGCCCGCTCGCACGAGCAGGTCACACGCTGCTTCTGGTGTCCTCACACAGCCGAGGAGTTGCAGGGACTGGAAGATGTGGGGGGGAGGCAGAGGGAGAGGAGCGGAAAAGAGAGACATGAGGAAGGAGTGGGAGTGCAGTGGCAGGGCGCCCGCTCGCACGAGCAGGGCACAGGCTGCCTCTGCCTCTGGCGTTCTCACACAGCCGAGGAGTTGCAGAGACTGGGAGATTCAAAGGCAGAGAAGTTGGGGGGAAGACAGAGGCAGCAAGGCATGGGCATAGTGTGGACTCGAAGGACCCCCACGCGAAGCAGATCGCAGGCTGCTTCTCGTAAGAAGAAAAGATGGGGATGAGAGAAAGTGAGGAATGAATTTAGGCATCTCAACCCAACCCTTCCACTCCCTCACAGACTTTCGGTCCATCCCAACCCTTTCACTCGCATGCACACCCTCTCGCCTTCTCTGCACCCACCTCCTCAGCCAATGCCGAGTTGCCACCTGGCCTCTCCTCCGCATACTCCAACAATGCCTGCAATCTCGCAGCCAATCCCGGGCCGCCACGTCCTCCCCCAACCCCATGCCCCTGCCGTTCCCCTTCCCCATCCCCTCCTCCTCCTTCACCCCTCTCTCCCGCCCCTCCTTGCTCCTCTGCCCTCCCTGCCCGCTCTATCCCCTCTATCCTTTCTCTCCAAATCTCCGGTGTTGGCTTTTGCCCCGGAGGTAACCGTAATGCTTCTCGAATGCAGGTTACAAACTCCTCTTGCTCTGCTCTCACTGCTGCCTCCGCTGCTGCTTGCTTCCTCAGCTGTTCCACCTGTTGAATCGGGGTGAAGGAGAGCAATAAGGAATAAACTCGCTAATCTCACTGATTTCATTGCTCCCTCTGCCCTCACTGTTCCCACTCTCCCTCTGCTCTCACTGCTGCCTCAGCTCTGCAGCTGTGGCACAGCTGCTTGCTTCCTCAGCTGTGCCACCTGGTGGGTTAGCGTACGGGAAAAAGGCATACTTTTTAGTCGGCTAAAGAATCGTTTAGCGTAGGGGAAAAAGGCCTTAGTTACACAATAATCACTGCACTGGTGGGTTGGGGCTTTAACTACAGATAATACCTGAACTGGGGTAGGCTCTGCCTCTGACTACAGGAGTGATGAAAAAAACCTGCACTGGTGGGCTTGGGCTTTAACTACAGATTATACCTGAACTGAGGTAGGCCCTGCCTCTGACTACAGGAGTGATAATACCTGCACTGATGGGTTCTACTACAGGACAAATCAAATACCTGCACGGGCGGGCGCAGCTCGAAGGAGTGGGCGGCACTGCGGACTCTCTTGAAGAAGATGCGGTCGGCAGTCAGCATTCGGTGGGCGGCAAAGTGCGGCACTAGCGGATCCTCCGCCTCTCCAAAGGCGATCTGGCAAGTAGGGGTTGAGGGTGAGGAGAGTTGGGAGAGACAGTCAGAGAGTCAAGTCAACAGCATGCGGTGGGCGGCAAAGTGCGGCACTAGTGGGTCCTCAGCCTCCCCAAAGGCGATCTGGCAGGTGAAAATGAGGGTAAAGGTAAGGTTATATTACTTTCAAGGCAAGGTTGAGGGTGAGCGTGCAGACAAAAAGAGAATGGAGGCACGAAAAGAACAGAGGCAACAAAACGAATGAAGACAGAATGTGTGGCGGCTTACCTCTGCAAACTCCTGTGTGGTGACTGTGGGTTGCTCTGAGAGAAACATCTCCCACACCATCTCCAGGAGTGATGCATCAGCCTGGTGGTTAAGGGGGCAGGCAGAATTGAGGTTTCAGGGTTCGGGTTTAGGGGTTAGGGACTGAACTGGAACTTGAAGGCACCAGCAAGTGATGAGGACCGCTAAAGGGGAGGAGCGACGGAAGTATGCAGTAAAACTAGTCTCGAGCGGCCTCAAAACCGGTAAAAACGAAGAGCAATGCAAGTTCTGCAAGTTTAAAAGTGCCGAAACTTGAGGGGTTTGCACAACAGATGAGTTATGAGCGTCTAACCGTTAATGAGTCGACGGAGGAGAGGAAGGAGGAGAGATCGGCAGCGTTAAAGTCCTCTTCCCCCACTTCCACGAATGTCAGCTGCTGCGGCCTCACGGAGAAGGTGTTGCCGTTCTGTTGTCGTGCAAAGCGGTGGGAAGAGATAACAAAGGGGGGAAGCGCAGGAAAGACAGGTAAATTTCTCTTCCCCCACTTCCACGAACGTCAGCTGCTGCGGCCTCACAGAGAAAGTGTTGCCGTTCTGTGGTTGTGCAATGCAGTGGGAAGAGGGAATGAATTGGGGACGGAAGTGAGGGAAGGAAGGGAGAAATCATCCTTCATCCACTCCCACGAATGTCAGCTGCTGCGGAATGGATCCTAGCAAGCATTACATGCGTATACATGACGATCCCAGCATGCCAAGCCAAGCTTAATGCTTATAACGCGTACGTACCTGGTCCATGACAATCCAGTTCTTCTTCCCTTCCGGTCGCATCACCACGCCCACCACGTGTCTCTGCTGCTCCTTCTCGAACTCCACCAGAGCGCCTTTCCTCACCCTCTCACGCAACACCTGTTTTTTAAGTCAATTAAGAATCTGTTTCATGCTTATAACGCGTACGTACCTGGTCCACGATCCAGTTCTTCTTCCCTTCCGGTCGCATCACCACGCCCACCACGTGTCTCTGCTGCTCCTTCTCAAACTCCACCAGAGCTCCTTTCCTCACCCTCTCACGCAACAGCTGTTTTGTAAGTCAACTAATAATCTGTTTCATGCTTATAACGCGTACGTACCTGGTCCATAACAATCCAGTTCTTCTTCCCTTCTGGCCGCATCACCACCCCCACCACGTGTCTCTGCTGCTCCTTCTCAAACTCCACCAGAGCGCCTTTCCTCACCCTCTCACTCAACAGCTGTTTTTTAAGTCAACAAGGAATCTGTTTCATGCTTATAACGCGTACGCACCTGGTCCATAACGATCCAGTTCTTCTTCCCTTCTGGCCGCATCACCACGCCCACCACGTGTCTCTGCTGCTCCTTCTCAAACTCCACCAGAGCTCCTTTCCTCACCCTCTCACTCAAAGAGCCTGCTCCGCTTTTGCCCGCTCCGCTTTTAGCCGCTGCGTTACCAGCAGCGGCCTGTACAAGCCTGGTACTTTGTCTCCCACCGTTACTGCTTGCTGTTCTGCTGCTTCTGCTACCAATGAAGGCACTACTGCTGCCACCGCCACCACCGCCGGCGCCGCCGCTACCGCCGCCAACACCTTTCCTGCAGAGAGGGCTGTTGCTCGTGAATCCAGCCGCAAAGCATCTGCTGCTGCTGTTGACGCGACCGCTGCTGCTGCCGTAAAGCAACGTGGACGAATAAGTAGCACCTGGCGACGTGGCAGCCGCTACAGGCGTAAACCTTCGACCTACATTTGGTTGAGCTACAGCCGGCTGGGGAACAACTGAACGAGCTACAGCCGGCTGGGAAACTGGTAATACCGTTGCGCTACAGCTCACATCACGTTGTGCTACAGCCGGTCTGTTCCAGGCAATTCGGGATGCTTGGTCCGTACCGCCTGTAGCCGTTCTAGTTGCTGAAGCTGTTTTAAAGCCTGTGGCCGCTTTAGCGGCTGTAGCCGTTCTAGCAGCTGTAGCGGCTGTAGCTGCTCTGGCGACTGTATCCGTGCTAGCCGCTATAGCTGTTCTAACGGCTGTAGCGGAGTGTTTACGCGCTGAGGCTGCTGTAGCTGTTGTAGCAGCTGTAGCTGCTCTAGCACCTCCTGTATCCGTACCAGCCGCCGAAGCTGCTCTAACGGCTGTAGCGGAGTGTCTACGCGCTGATGCTGCTGTAGCTGCCACTGCTGCTGCCGCGAGGCGATACATCGGCCCGCCGCGATCACCGCCGGGAATCGCGGCAGATCTGCTGGCTCGGACAGCCCTCGTGGGAGATCGGACGGCTCTGGCGTACGATCCGCTCTTCCTGCGCGGAGAAACGGCGCCTGCGGAGACGGAGGCGGAAGCCGCGCTGGCGCAGGCGGAAATCGACGCGGAGGCGGAAGCGGAAGCGGCAGAGGCGCAGGCGGAAGTGGTTGCGGAGGCAGCTGCGAGGTTTGTCCTACTGCCGGCGAGTAGCGCTTGATGCGGCGCGACGACCGGCCTCATATCGCCGTACCTCCCGAAGTCAACTTATGATTGGATCGCACCTCTGTTTCGAGCCTCACAACAACGGCGATTCCGGCGCGACTGCACGTCGTAGGATGGCTTCTGAGTCGACTCAAAAGTCGGCGCGACTGCACGTCGTAAGATTGCAGGTTTCAGGTTATCAATAGACCAAACAGCAAGGGCGTCAGACCCGTAACACGTGGAATCACCGCCCTAAGGAATGTGTGGGAAATACGGTTCCTTGATCCTTACCCATAGCCTCATGTTCTAAAAGAGGTAATAAGAACGATTCCTGGGAACAACTTTCTGTCTGGGATTTGCAATCGAAGAAAATCCCAGAGCAAGGTGCATGAAACAGCTAGCAGGGCAAGTTTCAAGCGTTAATTTGAGCACGGCTCAGTGAGCTTCTTCACGGTTGAAAACGTTTTTATAAACAAGATGAGGGGTTGAGTATGGTGGAGCGAAAACTGGCACTTGAGGAGGACATTCCCCGAGGGGAACCACCTAGCCAACTGTAATTGAAGGTTTGGGATTAGCCAGGCGTTCGGATTGCCTTGTTCCACGCGGCGCTCTCTGAACAGTCGCGTCGCCGCTGATGTGTAAGGCGCTGGTTTGATAGGAGTTGCAGTTGCAACCCCGTGCAAAACAGTTCAGCAGCAAAATCCGTGGTTGGAAGGCGGGTGATAAGTTGCGTGTAGTTGTACCTCCAAATACTGAGTTCGCGAATAATCCAACCAATCCTAGCTCGTCTACGAGTGCGTGTCAGGGTTTTCAGAAACCCCGCCGAATTCTACTGGTCCGCGTGCCCTCGGTGTCTCCGGTGCGCGCCTGCTTCTACCACACGCAACACTGCACTGCGGAACCGCCCGCTCCGCCATCCCACTTCTCCCTCCTCCCTGGTCGAGCGCATGCCAGCGCAACATGAATGCCCGGTTGTGCTCGGCTTTGCTCGGTTTTTCTCGGCTATGCTCGGCTATTCTCTGATGTAGTCTCGGGCCATCAAAGTACATAATCGCCTCCCACAAGCAAGATTCACGGTATTTTCAAGTGAAGGCTTGCGTAGTTCTGAAGTTGCTTGGAGCCTGAGATTGCTTGAAGGAGTCAAGGTAGTAGGTAGTTTTGAGCAGGGATCCGAGTCGGGCTCTTGCGAGCGAAGCAGGCAGCGAGAGAGGTATTTAGTATTCCCTCATTTTGATTCATTTTTCTCGCCGTCCCTTTCGTTTTCGTGTTTTTTATCCCTGTGCGACCTTACGCGTCAACGAATCTTCAGAGGTTGATCGTCCATCGCGTTCCCGACGTAAGCATGTCGGATAATAACGTTGACGCAGTTGTTCCTAATAACCGCAACTCTCAGCCTTCAGAATCCTTGTCCGCGAATTCCGATCGGCAAAGCGGAAGAGGCGGCCGCCGCAGGGGCGGAGGGAGAGAGCGGGATCGAGATTTTCAGGACATTAATACACAAGCTAATGGCCGGTTCTCAGAGGAGAATAGCGGCAGGGGAGGGTATGGTGGCCGAGGCAGAGGAAGGGGTCGTAGCCGAGGTTCAGGCGATAATTCTGTTCGTGGAGGATATGACGGCAATCGCGGCGGCGGACGCGGCGGTGGTCGCGGCGGCGGTGGCGGCGGTGGTGGCGGCGGTGGCGACGGGTCTGCTTCACTTCTGGAGCTGTACGGCGGGTCTTCAGTTCGTCAGGCGCATGACTTTGCCCAACCGCGCCGCGGTTACTCTCAGCCCTACCGGCCGTTTCTGGTGCCTGCTGGGCAGTCTAATCAGCCGGCAGATCTGACCGGCCAGTCTCCTCAGCCGGCAAGTCAGCCGGGGTTGGATTCGAGTGCTTTCAACAGTAGTGGTTTTCAGCAGCCAGGGTTGCACCCGGGCAGCAGCCAACCTCAACCACGGGCAGGTCCTGGAATATTGGACCTGCCCGCGCTTCTTGCCCCGCTAAATCCTCAAGTACAGCAGGGGGGCGCGCGGGGAAGGGGAAGGCGGGGAAGGGGCGGGGGGAGAGGAGGCAGGGATGGGGGAAGGGGGAGAGGAGGGCGTGGAGACAGAGGCGAGGTAGAGCTGCCACAGCATCATTTAACCGGGTTACCAGCATCAGTCCCGATTCTAGATTCAGGCTCGTCCGCTCCTCCGTTTCCTTCGCGACATGGTTATCAGCATTCGCAGCAGCAGCCGTTTCGCCGCCACCACCAGCAGCAGCAGCAGCAGCAGTTCAACCAACCGAAGCTGACCCAGCAGCAACCCTTCCAGCACCAGCCACGTCAGCACCAGGGAAGGCCGACCTCGGATTTTAGCAGCGCGAGTACCGACCAACGAAGCGCAACGAGCGCAAGAGACGGAGTGGAAGTTCCGCAGCTGCTACAGGAGATAGAAAACCGGTTACGAAGCGGGCAGGTGGAGTGCATGATCTGCTACGACCCTGTGGGGCGATCCGCTGCCGTCTGGACGTGCCACAGCTGCTACAGCCTGTTCCACCTCCACTGCACGCGCAAGTGGGCCAAAGCGCCCTCCTCCGGCGCCGCGCCGGACCTCGCGGCGGCGAATGCAGGGGGAAGCGCGGGCGGGAACGCGAGTGCGGGTCAAGTTACAGGAGGAGCAGCAGGAGCAGCAGGAGCGGGAGGAGCAGGAGTGGCAGCAGGATCGGGGGGACCAGGAGGGTCAGGGGGCGAAGGATGGAGGTGTCCCGGTTGCCAGGCTGTTCAGCTAACCCCTCCCTCTCACCTCCGCTACTTCTGCTTCTGTGGGCAACGGGAAGATCCCCAGTTCGATCCCTACCTAGTCCCCCATTCCTGTGGCGAAACCTGCCACAGGCCGCTAGGGTTACCCGGTTCGTCCTGCCCCCATTCATGCACGCTGATTTGCCACCCGGGGCCCTGTCCGCCCTGCAGCGCTATGGCTAATACCGAGTCGTGCTTTTGTGGGGGACGGCGGTTCCAGAGGCGGTGTAGCGAGGCTGCTGCGAAGCCCGGGGGCGTGTCGTGTGGAGAGCGGTGTAATGCGGTGCTGAGGTGTGGCAGGCATGTGTGCGGGAGGGTGTGTCATGAGGGGGAGTGTGGGGAGTGTGAGGAGGTGGTTGTAGCGCAGTGTGTGTGTGAGAAGGAGGAGCAGCAAAGGCGATGTTCTAGCCTGTTACCAAGTAACCCTCCTCTTGTTTCCCCTCCTACTCCTCCTGATACTCCTCCTCTTCCCACTCCTCTTGTCTCTTCCTCTGAAGAGAGCAAAATTACCACCAGCAGCGGCAGCACAACCAGCAGCAGCAGCAGTGGGGTTTACCTTGTCAAAGGTGCATTCTCCTGTGAAACTGTTTGTAACAAGCTGCTTCCGTGTGGTAACCACCGTTGCCAGAAGCGCTGCCATAGCAGCCGCAGCAACGCCGCCAGCAGCGGCAGCAGCACCACCACCACCAGCAGCACCAGCAGCACCACCACTAGCAGCACCACCACCATTGCCGATTCCTCATGTGGCAGCTGCCTATTCTCGCCCTCCGTTGTTCACACCTGCCCGTGCGGCAAGCAGCCAATCACAGCCCTTCTCCAGAAACCCGGGCAGGCTAGAAAGCAGCGCACCTCGTGCCTAGACTCCATACCCACATGTGGTGGCGGGTGTGGCAAGCTACTGGCGTGTGGCCAGCACGTGTGTGGCAGTCTGTGTCACGTGGGCGAGTGCCCGCCCTGTGAAAAGCCTGTGGAGCAGCGGTGTGCGTGTGGGGAGTCGGTTCGGACAGTGCCTTGTTATAAAACACTGGTATCTTTTGGGAAGGGTTCAGGGGATGGGGTTTATGCTAGCGGCAGTGCTGCTGGTGGTTCTGATAATGGCGGTGGTGGGGGTGTTACAGGTGGGACATTTGCTGCAGCAGCAGGAGTAGGAGCAGCAGCAGCAGGAGGAGTTGACTCGGAGCCCTTCCGTTGTAACCGCAAGTGTAACGCCAAGAAGAATTGCGGGCGGCACCGCTGCAACACCAGCTGCTGCCCGAAAAACCCTAAAAACAAAGCACAGGCCGCCAATACCGCCGCTGCTGCCGCATCTGACACAGACCCCCATCTCTGCATGCTAGTCTGTGGGAAGAAGCTTCGTTGCAGCAAGCACTCATGCATGGAGCTTTGCCATTCCGGCCACTGCCCGCCTTGCCTGGAAGCTTCCTTCACAGAAGTTTCCTGCTCCTGCGGCTCTTCCTTTATCCCTCCCCCAGTCCCCTGCGGCACCTCCCCTCCCTCCTGCTCCCAGCCTTGCTCCAAAGCGAGAGATTGCGGGCACGATCCGGATCACCCCTGCCATTTCGGGGATTGTCCGCCATGTTCCTCTGCGGTGGCCAAGGAGTGCGTGGGTGGTCACGTGGTGTTGAGAGGGGTGCCGTGCGGTAGTAAGGATATCCGGTGCAGTAATGTGTGTGGGAAGAGGCGGCAGTGTGGGGTGCATGCTTGCTTGAAACTGTGTCATGTGGGGCCGTGTGATGAGCCAGGACCGGCCCTTGCCACTGCTGCTTCTCCTTCTACTGCTCCTCCTCCTGCTGCTACTGCTGCTGATGATGATCATGGGGAACAGGAGGACAGCGGGTCAGGGAAACAGCAGCCGGAACAGCTGCACCAGCAGCAGCAGCACCAGCAGCAGAGGCTCACCGGCCCTCTTTCCTGTGGCCAGCCTTGTGGCGCTCCTAGGAGGGAATGCCAGCACACTTGCACATCCACCTGTCACATCGGCTCTCCCTGTCCCGAAACCCGCTGCACCACCCCTGCCACCATCACTTGCGCCTGCGGCCGCCTCTCTGCCCGAGTCCCCTGCGGGGCAGGCGGGAAAGACTCCGATTGGCTGACCGGAAATCTCATTCTGCCTGGGCTGCCGACTGCTCTGGTTCAGCCTGTGGAGGCGGCAGGCGGTAACGGCCGGGCAGTGAGAAAGTTTCCGCCCGGGCAGTGCAAGCTCGCGTGCAACGAGGAGTGTGAGAAGGTGCAGCGGAGGAAAGTTTTGGCTGAGGCGTTTCATCCCTTGGCAGGTGCAGGAGAGGGTGGTATTACCAGCAGCACCGGTACCAGTAGCAGTATTTGGGACGGCCGTGACAGCAGCAGCAGCAGCAACACCAGGAGCGGTATTAGCAGCGGTATCAGCAGCAGCAGCAATACCGGTGGTACTGGTGCTGGTACCAGTGGGGAGCTTTCTCAATCGGTAATGGAGATTATTCGAGCTGACCCGCGTTGGGCAGCGGACATAGAATCCCGCCTGCAGTATCTGGTCCTCGGTCCCACCTCCAAAACCCCACCAGCAGGAGCAACAACAGCAGCAGCAGCAGCAGCAGCCGCAGCCGCAGGAGGAGGGGGAGGAGCAGCGAGTGCAGCGGCGACAGCCGCTACTGGGTGGCCGAGGGACGGTGTTCGCCTGCACATTTTCAGGCCAATGGGGAGAGAGAGGCGGGAGGCGGTGCATCAAATGGCGGGTCGGTGGCGACTGGAAACGGTTTCTAAAGGAGCCGAACCGCACCGATTCATGCTCGTGTACACCACGTCCAAGTCCCGCGCTCCTACCCGGAAGCTTCCTCTACCTTCCGGCAGCAGCAGCAGCACCGGCGGCAGCAGCATTGGGAGCAATCTAGTGCCGTTAGGCCCCGGGTTTCCTCCTTCTCTCACTGCACCCGCCCCGCCGTTTGACCCGGAAATTGACCTCAACCCGGCGCGTGTGGTGGCGCTGCTGTCCCTTCCCAGAGACTCCAACGTGGCCTCTCAGCTGGTGAGGTTCGGAGGGGAGTGTGAGCTCGTGTGGATTGACGATCGGAATGCCGTGGCTGTGTTTGAGGACCCAGGGCGAGCAGCAACGGCCATGCGGTTTCTCGATCATGCGAAGCCGTTTTGGGGTGCTGTTGCTCGCGGGAGTGTGTACCAGTTGCAGCAGCCGCAGCAGCAAGGGCAGGGGCAGGGGCAACAGTGGCAGCAGCAGCAGCAGCAGTATGGGAGCATGCCAGGGTCATGGGGTTTACCTTTGGCAGGTGGGTCTGGAGCAACAGGTGCAGGTGGTTGGGGCGGGAGAGGTTCGGCCGGGCCTGCTGGTACAGGTTCGGGCAGAGGTTGGGGAACAGGAGGGGTGGGAGTAGGGGGAGGTGGGCCTGGGGCGGGTGGGACTGCGGGAGGGGCGTGGGGGAGAGGAGGGGGGGGTGCAGCTGTGATAAAGACGGGGGTTGGCCATGCATTGTTGGACGAGGCATGGGGGGGTGATGATAGTGCTGGTGGTGTGGCTGATGTCGCATCTTCAAATGCTACAATTGCTGCAGCATCAGCTGCTACTGCAGCCCCCGCGGCTGCTCCTGCTCCTGTTCTTGCTCCTGCTGCTGTCACTGCCGCAGCTGCTGCGGCTGCACCTGCTGCAGTTGCTGCTGCGGCTGGGACAGTGGCAGAGGAAGGAGACGGGAAAGATGCGGAGGAAGATGATTGGGAGAAGATGATTGATTAGCAGCAGTTGGTTGTCTGTTAGGCATTCTCCTTCTTGCTCCTGCTAGAGCTGCTCCTGCTAGAGCTGCTGCTGCACCTGGTGGAGATGGGGCAGATGCGGAGGAAGATGATTGGGAGAAGATGATTGATTAGCAGCAGTTGGTTGTCTGTTAGGCATGGTACTCCTTGTTGCTGCTGCGGCTAGCCGCGGCTGCACCTGGTGGAGATGGAGCTGATGCGGAGGAAGATAATCGGGAGAAGATGACTGATTAGCAGCAGTTTGTGGTTGGTAGGCATGCTCCTCCTTGCTCATGCTAGCGCTGCTGCTGCAGCTGTACCTGCTGCAGTTGCTGCTGCCGCTGATGTGGATGATTGAGAGAGGATGGTCTGATTAGTGCCAGTTTGTAACTTGTTTGACAACCAGTTGGTACCAAATTACACTTTTCACTGTGTGTGTTCAAAACATTATCTCTTGAAATACCGTAGTGGTCAAGGGCTGTGAATCTCCCAAAACAATGAAGGGCTTTGATGATCAAGGACATGGAATGCTCTGACAGAATCCCAGCCACTAGACCAGTAGCAGGTGAGTGCCACTATAACCCCCCACGGATCAATCTGGCAGCGACATGAGAACCAGCATGCGCGCACATGGGGACTTGAACCAGAGATATTTCATTCTGGT